AGCTACCCTGGGCTCTCCCAGCGCATCAAAAGACTGGGCAGGTCGAACAATCTAAAGTGTTGATCAAGGAGGGAGGGGTCCAGCTGGACCAGGAGGCCACCGGGACCAGATGATGAAAAAACAGATCATGAAAAAAAATCAAGAGCATAAAATGCATAAAATGACCTGAATGCAGGGGTGAACCGCAGATCCATGCCAGACAAAACACAGCCCAGCGCCTGCTCCGGCAGGCTAACACAAAGAGCTAACGCAGAGCATGGCAACAGCAAACCCAAGTGACATTACATAGATTAAACAGTAAACATAAGTCTGTAAGTACTATGTAAGGTAAACTTTATACTTTATTGGGTCAACCGACAAACTGCTCTTGGTTCACCATGTTAACTGTTTAATAATCATAGCTAACGCTAGCTAAAATCAATTTGGCATTTTGGCATAAAAAAAGCATTTTCAAATTCCACATTAAAAAAAAAAATATTTTCACATATTTTTTTTTTAGAAATGTATGCATTTGTGAATCATTTTTTCCCAGTAACAAGACAGTGTACTGTATAAATGTGAAGGAATTTTCCATATTTCCATGTCCTTAAATCCCATTTCCTCCAGCTTGACCCCCTCCCTCTTTGATCAAAACATTTTGGTGGGTGTCATGGGGGTGAGGGAGGGTGAGTGAGGGGCAGGTGGGGTGCGGTTGGGGCAAGATGGGGTATGAAAGGTGATTGGGGTGAGAGTCTTGACCCCTTCTCCTGTGTTGTTAAATCCCCCTTTTTTCCCTCATTTTTGAAAAAACATTTTCAAATTCCACATTAAAAAAATTATTTTCACGTTTGTTTGTTTTTTTAGAAACGTCTGCATTTGTGAATACATTTTTCCCCAATAACAAGACAGTATAATGTACTGTATAAATGTGAAGGAGTTTTCCGTATTTCCATCACATGAGCCATTTGCTCTACTCAAAGCATCTCATATTGTAGCTGTTATGCTGTGCCATCCCCCGAAACACATCTGATGATTTTTTTAAGTGTTGCTTGTTTTATTTTTACCTCAATCAGTGGCAGCAACAAGAAACCCCTCAGCATGATTTATTCTTAATCAACATGTGTAGTGTTGTTGAATTTTTTCCCGTGACCTTTACTGACTGATGCTTGTTCGTAATCATGTTTTTTAACTTTTTATTTAGAAAGAACTGAAGGTTTTCAGGCAAAGTTACACTTACACAAGTTTAAGCCTCATAGCTGATGCTAATAAATGCTAATGTTAGCCTCTGATTTAGGCTGCTAAAGTAAAGACTTTTACCCTAGCTGACCAAGATAGATTAACTTGGTGGTTAACAGACTATAGTGGTAATCCTATTGAAAGTTTAGTTTCATCTCAGCACATTTATAATTATGTCCATTTTATAGCACATATTGTTTAGTGAATATTTGCAGACAGACATTCCCGCTGTAACTGTGTTTTTCCTTCAATATTTATTGAAAATATAATTTATGAAATGCTGAGCAGCATTTTTAGTATGTACACTTAAATAAATCAAAACGATCAGTAGTATACTACTATTCACAACAAGTAGGTGAAATCAGGGTTCAATTAGTATTCATGATGGCAGAGTATAATTTTGTGACCCTGTTGTGCTAATGTGATTAAATAATAATACTAATAATGATTAAACTTTCTGAATCCTTTATCATCTGCAACTGAAAATAGTTGTGGATGATCATTATACCTTTTTAATGTGACGTTGTTGTCCCTGGCTCTTTCTCTGTCTCTTCCTCCTGCTCTGTTCCTGTGCTACTGCAAGTGTAACTACCGCCCCTCCCCCCTCTTCCCAGCGTAAAGCGGAAAAAAAGTGCGAGAGACAGAGAAGGTGAGAGAAGGAAAAAAAAACACGGCTCGCGATAAGGAGTTGGCTCGCGTCGTTCAAGAACCGGCTCTAAGAGCCATTTCGTTTGCGACCGACCCATCACTAGTTGATGATAATTTTCGAGTGCGCAACGACGTAATGGGAAATTCACAGAGAAACTCGCGGATTCTTCAACTGACCGCTGCGGCACACCTGCACCAGGGCACACCTCCGCCTACCCCACTCCTGCTTTACAGGTGAAAATGGAGCAA